AAAAAAAAAAGAAAAACTGAAGGCAAAACTTTACAGTCAAATTTACGAAAGAAAGTTAATAGCTTTTTTTTTCTAGACCAAATGCATTTTTGAGACTAATTTCCTCTCCGCTCCCCCCCCAAAAAAAAAACTATCTTATGGCAGCTTAGACCGTGTCTGAAATACTAAAAGCTAGCAGCAGACAACAGCTTTTCTTTTTGTTGAGTTCGTTTGAAAATGATAGCCAGCAAAATTAGATGAAAACCTCGATCAATGGTTCAAAGGATAGTAGGCTTCTTGAGCGCCTTAAAAACTTTTTCGACTTCTTCATTTCTGTCTCCCATTCTCCTCGTTTAGGCTGATAACTTTGATACGAACTAAGACCAAGCGGCAGTATAGCTCGATCACTAAATTTATTTATTTTTATCATATAGCACTCAATAAATAAGTGTAAAAAAAAAAATGTCAATCTCTAAAAAAGACGAGGGTTTGCTGCAATAATTATACTAGTCTTATAATCAAATAAAAAATGAAATTTTGTTTCAATAGCAATCAGAAAAATTGCAGCAGCACCAATGTTAAAATGCAAGCATAAATTGTCTCAAATAAATGTCAATAATTAATAATTTTTTATTTTATTATTATGTTATTCAACTTTAATAATGTCAGAAAGTTATTCATATGATTAATTTTTCAACTGTTTTGTCTCAAATTTTTATCTTCTCCTCAATTTTGTTTAGATGTCAAAAAAAAAAAAGAAAAAAATCAGATGAAATGAAATTATTTCTTTCTTATCTTGAACATTTATTTTTTTTTTAAAAAAATAATATTGATAGTAGTGAAGACATCTTGGTGATTTCTAAATTTTAAGCGACAGTTATCGGAGTAAACTAGGAAATTAACGGCTGAAAAAACAAGGCAGTGATTTAGGGAAATACGTCGAAATTGTGGAATTATCTGAGAGCACAAACAAGCCACTAAATTCTCAATTTTTTTCGAGTGTTTTTTAAGATAATATTTATAGAAATACAACTGAAGCTATACATTGATACTGTGATGTTGACATACTCTTACCGGTACGGCATCGCATAACTTGGTGCTAATGATGTATAGGTTTTTCGACGTCGAAACTCGCCAAGTGGTGGATGGTACATTTCGTCGAAACGGCAACGATGTGCTACCCGCCAGGCATCCTGTACGGGCCAGAATCTGGAATACCAAAACCAGTGAAGGCAGAAATAATACAAAAAACTAATTTATCTAATCGGTGAAAAATTTTTTTTTTTACGTATTCAGAGGTACTATTTTTTTTTTGGCTTATTTTTTTCTTCTTTCTTTTTCCTTTCAAAATTTGAATTTTTGGTTTACTGCCGCAGATGAAGCTGAGCAGAATATTCACTTTTCAGAATGCGATTTGAATAACCAACGTTGAATTGACAATATCCTTGAATGTACTCCATGGCCTCACCACAAATGTATCCCGAGGTCTGCATCGCCAGATCGCGGAATCAACTTGTTCACGAACCTTCAAAAAATAACAACGACAGTTGTTGTTGTTGTTGTTGGTGGTGGTGGTGGTGATGGTGACGGTGTTGCTGGTATTGCTTTGATATTATCCCCAACTCCATTTGTATACTAATTACCAAATTTTCTTAGTTGTTCTTTCTGTGTCTTGTTCAAATCTTGTTGATTTTTAGATCTTCCTCTCGGTGTATTTTTTCTTTACACTGACTTTGTTTAATTCATAAGCAAAAAGATTGTCATTATATTTTTGTTGTAACAGTTTAATCTTTTTAAACAAAATGTCTACACTGGATTATTCAAGAAGCAAAATCAGGTCGATTTCAATTACTGATGAAAGTAAGTGAGAGGAAGAAAAGAAGAAATTCAGCAGTATGAGCAAGTTTCTCAACAGTAGATGTTGCTGTGTAGAAAGAAGGAAGCAAAAGATTGCAAAAATAAATTTTGTTAATGTTCAGAAATTTTTTTTGTTGATTTTTTCCTCTGGTTGATTTTTTTCTAAGGCACCAAGTATCTCAGAACAAAAAAAAATTGAAGATGTAAAAAAAACACAGTTGATATGCAATGTTAAAAAATGCACACTAAATAATTGGGCTTTTGCTGAAACGAACAATGATCAACGTTTTACGAGTACAAAAACATTGGGGTTAATAGCGATTGAATGTTCAGATCGAAAACGTATCAGAGAGAAAAAAAGTTTGATTTTTAACATTTCAACTGAATGTTAAGATAGAAAAATTTACTTCTCCTTTTTTCAGCTGTTATCTTTTGAAAAATAATTTTGTCTGCTCATAGCTGTTGAAACATCTGTGAAAACAGACTCACACATATACTTAAAATAAAAAAAAAAGAGACTTACAGGTTTGCTAGAATTTTCTTAGCTCAATCTTAAGGTAATTTTTTTTTTTTTTTTGTTAACTATGAATCAAAATCATCAACGATTTGGTTTATTGCCACACGAATACTGATCGTTTGCTGATTTTCTACACTTTTTTTTTTTTTTGTCACGATTCAAAGTTGATTCAGTACTGAAGAAATTTTATTTTTGGAATTTTTGATTGCTGTTATGAGGAAAAAATGCTTCCATTTGTCATAACAACCACAAGGAAAAAAATGAGCTAAACGAAAAAAAAAAAGATGGAAGAAAAAAAAGGATAATTTTAAAGGATAATTTGAAGGATAATTTTTAAACTAAAAAAACAAAATTTTGCACTCAACAATTTTGCAGTGAATGACTAACCGTATAAAAACTAAAGAAAAAATGTGAAAATTAGAGGTGGAAAAAAGTTGGAATCCAAGGCAACGATTAACAGAGTTAAACCTAATACTCTACCATAGGTTTGCAGCAACTGAACAATTTTAAACCACTTCAAAATTTGCAATTTTTTCACTTGTTTTTGATCTTTCTGTTCTCAACTATTCTATTTTCGACCTTTTTGTTCTCGACTGTCAAAGAAACTTTCCTCTCTTTTTCCTCCTTCTCCTGCTTCTGCCTTCTTGC